CTGCTATAGTTTTTTTAACAGCATTTGAAACTGAGCGTGTTTACATTATAAAATTTCAACTCAATAAATGCTGCAATTTTCATCATATCAGTATGAAGCGGCGTGAAAACAAATTTGTAGTAAAATTGATTAATAAAATAGGATTTCTGTTGCGGCGATTTATCGAATATTTTCACGCGCTTTTTATAGAACAATGTGGATGATATTTTTCATATAAAAATGTAAATAATTTTTTTTGTACAAAATTGTTGTCATTTCCCAAATAAACAGTCGAATAAATTTTCCCAAATCAACTTTATTCATCTGAAATTTTTTGTTGCCAATTCAATTTTAGAAAAAGTTGTTTTAAAAGCAAATATGAAATTCTAATTTAATTAAACATCAAAATTTATGGATTGGAAATTCAATATGTAAATTTGTGTTTTGAAAATCATTTCTTTAAAAAAATATTACCATTTTAAATTGATCAGAATTAATTGCATATCCAGTTAAAATTTATTAAACTTACACCGAAAAATTGCGATGCAAAAAAAGTGTTTTTAAACTTATTCAAAAAAGGTGAATTAATTTTAAAAATAACGCAAACACGCATCAAGCTTTATATGAACAAACTCCATAAAATAAATGTTTACACACTTTAATTCCTGTAGGCGAGACTAACTTTTATAAAATTACAGCGGAGATCCATTAGCGCAGGGTGTGTGCATGCATACACCAACGCTTGAAATGAGTGAGGAAATTGAAAAATTTATCGAATAATTTAATAACATTTCTCACAGTTGTCGTGTGCATTAACTAATTCCTAAATGCATCAAATTAAACTTCAATTATGCTTTAAGTATTATTGCATGTCTTTGATGCAAGGACGCTCCAAATTGAATTTAGTTGCCTTCTCTCTTGCACAATACATTCATCTCATATTTCTTTGAAAATTAAATTACAATTGAAAGCGCATCTTCAAGATACTTTTGAGTCTTAATGTTTATTGCAAAGCACTCAATTCTTTCATTTGAAGATCACATTCTCTCAATTTCATTTACGATTGCGATGCCAGATTACTTTAAAATAAATTGTTGTACTCAAAATGTTATGAAAATAAATTTTATACTTGTTCACATTTCGTGTGAACGATGATGGAAGTGCGTGAAATGATGTAAAAATTTGTTGGCATGTGAAACATAACCTTTAAAAACATAAAGTGTGATAAAAGGACGAAAAATTTTTATTTCTCTTCGTTCAATAAGGGATTTTAGGGTGTTTTTGGAAGGAAAGAGTGTTTACTTATACTTTATACATCATGTCTATGTATCAATCATGAAATATTGTAAAATACACCAGAAAATTTCGGAGAAAAATAATTAAATTTAGGTTAATAGACGTAGATCATCGCTATGGGGATATTCAATTATTACGTTAGCGATTTAAGGGAAATGATGAAAATTAAGTTGTGGAACAAAATAATACTACGACGTATCTAGTGTTAATGATAAATCGTGAAGAAGCATCCTAAACATCATAATTGAATAATTCCTATTATTTAAACAGCAAAAAAATATTGTTATCACCTGCTATAATGGGTAACTAAGCTACTACCTTATAAATATCTATGTCATCCTAATTTGTCATTTCTATTATATTTTGTTATGACCTCATTTTCGCTGATTAAAAATGCGTTTTATTCAATACTTTACCATGGAAATCTTCGTCTTCTTTCATCATCTCACCTTCTTTTCTCCTTTTTTTTCAAGATTAAATTTTCTGTGTATATGTAATTTTTATACTGATTTGATTTATAAAGCTTATGTGGCTGATTGTATCTGTGGCAAATTTCCTCTTTTTTTTATTCGCTAAAAGAAAATTAAATTCATGAAAAATTTCTCTTTTTCCTTTTCGGATATACATTTCATCGCCTTTTGCCATTGAATAAACAACTACACAAAAACATATAGCAGAATATCATTGATTTCTGTTATGAAAGGTTTTTTGGGTTGAGAAAGTTGTTTGGAATTTTAAATCCTCACGTCTAATATTTCAATTTTATGCTTTAGATGTGAATATTAAGATGTCAATATGCATTCATATTAGATATCAATGAGATTTTCTTCATCTCTTTATTGCGCATCGTTTTCATATTTAGAACTATTGTGAACAAGTTTGCCTCTTGTATTGCAGTTGCCACAAGTTGTTACATTTTGCGTTGTACAAATGTTGCTTTCTATTAATTTGTATTGACTTCATATCTTAAATCAAATTATATGATCTCAAAAGATATTCAGATAAAACAAATTGCGACGTAGGAATGCAAAAGCTTGAATATTTTTTGTCATGCAAAGTCTGTTAATCATAATCAAGCTGTTAAAAAATCATCGTGATAAAAGTTTATATCACATGGCTCATAATCATTTATTTTTGCATGTCGACAAGGTATGAATGGCTTTAATTTAGTGAAAATTATCTTGCAATTTGTCCGTCGCGGCGTATTAATGATTTAATTAAAACTTTTGGCAAAAAGTTCTTTTGAATTCATTTATTAAAGTTTGTTTCTTGGGGTTTGTCTCAAATTACAGTGTGCTTTCCTGATCAAGGGGATGCAACATTTTTAAAAATATATTATTAATTTCAGAGCTCGAAGCTAGTCGATAGAACCCACAAAAATTCGACTTGACTCGAATTCTAAGTCTATCTCCTTTGAGTCGACACATCATGTCTTTAAAAAATAATGTTGGAAACCGTAAGTGGCAGAAAAGCTAAGCATAATAATAAAAACACATTTTAAATAATTTCAACACAAATTAAATTATAAAGTAAATTATGTCAAGTTAAACACCAGCAAAATGCTGTTAACCTCGCAACATTAAATCTCAAAGTTCGAGTGTAGAAATGATTAAAGTTTTTAACATTTAGTAATTGACGAAATCACATATTAACTTTATGCTTGGTAGCATATGTATTTTTAGATGCTTAAAGAGCACACAATCAAAGAAGAATAATCACAAAGAATTCTGTGCAATTAAAAATGTTTATGTTTGAGCATAAAAAGCTTAATTATTCTTCATGCTAAATGAAAGAGTTTTGAGTTTAAATAATGAAGATTTTTTTTTCATCAAATATTTTAATTAAAAAGTTTCCATTTACAACTTTTAAAGTTGGTCTTTGTTGTTTTTATTTTATGTGTATATTTACAATTACTGTCAATGAAGAAAAATTCAAAATTTTAAGTAAAGTTAAATGTCTCGAAAATTAGATTCCTTGGCTCTTAGTTGTATACAATTATTTCAGTTTTCAACAAGACAGTGATACAAATTTCTCTAGACATAAATTGGATTTTGAATTTTCTATTCAGATGAAACATTACAAAAGTTTCAAGGGCAGTCTAAAGGTTCGTCGTCAAATGCGATTAAGTTTTCGTAAAAGCTCTTTTCGACTGACTTATTCCTCCCTTCAAGCGATGAGAAATTAAAATTTTCCCTCCAATACACAAAGATACCCCATTTCGAATATAATCGATTACATTCTCTATTTTATTTTCCTTTATTCTTATTTTTCCATTCAATATGTTCAAAAAGTTCTTATCGAAATAAAGTCAGGTGATATGAACTTCCTCTTATGCCATTTCAAATTCCGTGTTATGCTTTTTTTGCTGATAGAAGCGAATGAAAGATAGAAGAATAGGAAAAGTTTGTTGTTTTAACTTCTTACGGATTCATGTATTCGTTTTTGGATTAAATTTACTGATTTTTACTGAATATATTCTGATTTTTTTGTTTTGTAAAAGTCAGAGATAACAGCAGCTACAGAATTTTTATTCTTTATCTGTTTTGTTCATATTTATACTAGATACGCCTTTATTAAAGTCTAGATGATAATGGTTCAGATTTTATAGTGGAATCCGAACCACTTGCAAGCTCTGCACATTGAAAAGACACGACTACTTCTCAAGACCTGATGTACCCTGCAATGTACCCAGTCACAATTCGTGTGCGCAAGATGCTGTAATGAAATCATCCAGATGCTAGCAAAGGAGACATGTTATGTGCCGAAGACCTCAAAACTACAGTTAACATACGAACCGAGCTTCGTTACTAGAACGGTGAAATGGAAAAAGAGCTTCTAATATTTGACTTGGCCTGGGATTGATCCTAGAACCTTTGACACCTAAGGTCAACTTTCTACCATTTAGACCAATGATGCCATTTCACCGCTTTTATGCTTATCATTTTAGCAGTTAAGTGCCTTGCTGGTCGAATAGGTAAGGCGCTTGGCTCAAATTTGGTATGGTAACTCGAAGGTCGTCGGTTCGAATCCAGCCATTTCCAAATTTGTTCTTTTTCAGAAGTTTAGATACTTCGACTGCTTAATGTACGAGTCAAGCCATAATTGGGCATTTTAGGCAACGTTGGATTAAGGAACGGATCAGGAACTTGAAGTGTAGCGGGAGAAATAGGAACGAGAGCTACAAGATTACCTTATAATGGAATATTGTCAGAACGGACCTGAAATGTATCACGTCACGCCCACAGAAGATTGAAACGAGAGCCTTAGTTTATTTGAAACCTAGATTTGAAGATTAGAAGCTTGATTCTGCGTCACCCATAGTGATATGAAATGTATCACTAATCAATGTAAAAAGTAAAAACATGTATAAATACTAATTCTTCCGGACGGTAACGTCGACAAATAAATAATAATAATAATAATAATAAGAACAACACAGATGTTGGCCATTATTTTTGTGATTTAATAATAATTCCAACTGAAGATCAGTGTAAGCACAAATCTATTGTATATTTATTAGAGCAGACAGATTCAAGTTATGAACGCTTAAATTTGACTTTCAAATTCTCGAAAAAACCTCCCCTTAAATTTATACAAAGATCCACAAAGATTTGTCTGAAAAGCTTCATCCCTAGAATTTGTGTATTGTGAGTTTTTGTGATTAAATGAAATAAGATATTGAGAATGACTTTTTGTATATGTAACAAATCATTTAATCTTCTAACCTTTTATGGATGAAACTTCTCTCCTCCTATTATCTTCCTTCAGATTCTCGCTCGTTTGTCACTTTTTTCTGTATTTTGAGTGAGCAAAGAAAACTTATTCAGTATGGTAATCCCTTTTTTATTTGATGACAGATAAACGATGCCGATAAAGAAGAGAATAAGAAAGAACTTTTTTTATTTTATGATACTTGTAAGCATCTTCGAGCCACTCACTTCACTAAACTATCAAAGAAATTATTGTAATATCTTTTCTTGACATTTTTATTCATATATGATACTTTATTTCTACTGATACATTGAGAATATTTCACTTTAGTTCATTTGGACACACAAACAACTTCTTCTTTGTCATTAAAAGATCAACATTAAAGCTATTCTTGATTTATTTGTTAAAGATATTTTTTACATTAAATGATTAAGAAGACGTTTTAGCTACAAAGAATCAATTTAAAGTCTATTACATTATTGCTACAGAGTTGATCGAATTGATATCGTTGGAAAAAAAAGTTGAAAAAAGGAATGAAGTCGTTTATTAATGACGTTTAACAGTTGAACATTTAGAAAAAGAGAAAAAATGGTTCTTTAAATTTGTATTTAAATCAACGCAACTCAGTATTTCTCATAAAAGTATCCTTAACAAACGACTATAGCTTGATTTTTGAGTTTGCATTTTGTATGTTCATTTTGTCGAGAACATTCAAATCAAAACTTTCAGTTGTAAATCTAATGAATTTTTGCAATCAAGATTAATTTACAATTTTTCAAAAACGTCATTGACGAACGACTCCAAAGTTTTGGTGGAACTAAATCCTCATACTTTGAAAAAAAATATTATTTAATGACATTTTTCAGAACTTTTGAATGTAAAGCTTGAAAAGAATCTGCAATGATTTCATAATTGCTGCAATATTTACTTTTAAGTTGGTGCAAGCAGATGTTTTGCTTCTCATGCTCAAATACAAAATATTACATTGTAAATATGTTGGAAAAATCATGTATTTGGAGAAGATTTTTATTTTCAGCACAGTCTAGTTTGTCCTCACAAAATGCTAGTCTGTACAAAACCAAAATAATTTTAATCAGGTTATGGATATAAATCAGTTGAATGTAAACTAATGAACTATTCATAACCTTACTGTGCGGAAAGTACTTAAGCATGTAATTATGTTTAATTTCAATCATATTATCTTCTTCGTTTCTGTAATAATTTTACTGCCTTTATGATTTTCAGTTGAAAGATATTTATTTGCTTTAATTTGAACATAAGTTGATTTTAGAGAATAATTTCAGAAGAAACCTTAAAAATAATGCATGACTAAGACATAGAACTTTATTAAAATTCCACTATTAAAAAACATCCACAAAAACCTTCGAAGAATTCAATGAAAATCTCCCAACCCTGTTCATCAACATTATTCATCGAAATCTATTGTTGCTTTTGTGGACGATATGACAATATGGTTTATGTAAATAATTTTTCTCTCAAGGATGATGTTTTAATTCCACGTACTTTTTCTTCACATTTAAAATACACGCACCAAAAAATTTATATCTCTCTTTAATGTACAATTGAATTTACTTCAAGAAGATGAATAGAAAATGTAGACGACAAATTTAATTTCTAGGTGGATTTACACAATTTTTCATTAAAGATTTTTGTCTGATGATCACATTTTATTTATTTTTATTTTTTTGGGTAGATTGGGGCAAGTTTATTTTTTTATTATGAGTCTTGAGACTTTTTGTGATATTTGAGAGGATTTTCTTTTTGTCGATTCATTTGAAATTTAAGATTTTGAAGAAAATTAGGTCTTAAAAAAATACCAAAATGTTACTGTTTTGTGTTGACAATTTTCTATAAAATCACAAACTTTGTCAAAAGCAGCTTGAAAGCAGCCAATAAATATCCAAAACTTTTACACTAGTCACAACATTTAACATTGAAGTCAAAGCTTAAAAATTTTTAAATTCACCAACAGTCATAAATTGAATCCTAGCTTAGGAAAGTCTATTTAGATTTTTGCCAATATAAATTTAATTTTCTTGGCCCAAAATTGCCAAACTTTTTTAATTTTGTCCAAATTTTATTCTACAAAAATCTTTCAAAAAATATTTTTTATTTTTCAAAAAAACTTAAAAAATTTTTTGTCACTTTCTATTTCATCTTAAACAAATTTATTTCTTAAAATCCTCTCGAAAATATCAACTTGATTCATTGGCAAAACAGCACGAACTGACCTACAGCCGTCGAAAATGCTTAGAAGATAAAAGAAATGTATTGTGAACTGATTGGAATGATTTTTTTCTTCTCAAAAGCATGATGTTGTGAATTGGAAGTGGAAGAGAATAAATTTCTTATTGCGCATGCTTAATTTTCTTTCATTTCCACTTTCCAGGTTGATATTATTTTTTTCGCGGCATTCAATGTTGTCTGTTGTGTGATGTTAAATTTTTTTTTTGTTCTTAAAGATGTTGAGGAATTTTTTTTTCGTTCTCTTCTTGTTTATTTATACTGCTTATTCAACATCTTTCGTGTAATTTTTCTCATTCTTTTGCTTCAATGTTTGTCAATTGATTTGGGCTTGTGGCTATGTGATAAACATTTTGTAAAGATTACTGATGATTTTTAGTCAATCATAGCATTGATTGGGTCTGATTTTTAATGTGTGACATGTTTTTGATATTGTTTTGAGAAGTGCTTACAATTTATATAATGGATTAAGTGTGGGTATTTATTAATATTATTATTTTAGTGGATTATAGATAGGGTGACCATCTGCGTAGTTTTACAACGGACAGTCCTATATTTCAAAACCCTGTCCTGTATAAATTTGAAAATTTTGTTCCAGGTCTTGTTTTTTTTTCACGAAAATTTCCGTTAATTTTTAAGTCTTCCTTTGTGTCCTGTATGTTTTAGGAAATTTATCAAATGTCCTGTATTTTCATAAAAATTAGATGGTCACCCTAATTATAGAACTGTTTCACTATTTGAAAGTGGGCTTCTTAATTATGCCAAAACAATTTCCGATTAAAGTAAATCAAGAACTATACTGAGTTTTTATTTATAGAAAGGTATATTGTTTAATAAGTTTTGGATATACACAAGTTATTTTTAAAACATTCAAAAACAATCGTCTTTTTTAAGTGTGCCTTAAGGCTTTTTGATTGCGTTAGCCGAAAACGGTTAAATTTAGATTTCAATCCATTTCCCGAATGGCACAAGTCGGTTAATCAAATAAAAATCCAGCGCCCAGCCTGGATGGCTCTGGCATGATGCTAGCTTCGATTTAAATCCAGCACTATGCCAGAGTCACACCAGCTTAGTGCCTGATTTCTGATCGATTAACAGACTTGTGCCATTCGGGTTTTTTCCAGCAGAATCAAACAATTTTAAACCTTTTTACTTATGTTTTTTTTTTTTTTTGAATTCAATTATTTAACCTTAACGATTTGGCGATGTTGTACATGCGATGATCAAGGATTTTAATCTCAGATGAGAATCCAACTTTTTTGACAAGCTGAAACAAAAGAAAATTGAGAGTATGAACATTTATAAACGACTCTTACATTTATCACAATAAATCGTACGCAAGTAAAAGCATTAAAATTACTCAATTCATTTTGTTTCTCTAAGAAATTTAAAGGCTTTTATTTATGACTTCTTCATGAAAACCTGAAAATTTATCATAAAACCTGTAACATTAGATAATTTTCTAACACATGCCAGCTGAAAATAAAATTTTATGTGAGTTATTTATCATCATGAAGCACTCAGGATGAGAAAAGTTTCATTCGTGAAGAAAAAGTTTTTCAATGATTTTTTTCCCTTCATTTTACTTCCGTTCCCAATTATACTGTTCAATTTCCATTAACTCGTTATAGCATATCATCACGTAATGATGTATTTGAATTAAATTGACTGTAATACATTTGACATTGCATGACAAGTTCTGCATTTGAATCAACTGAGGAATATATTTTTTTATCGTAGAATTTTTATTAAACATGAATCAACAAGTTGAGTTATTGAAAAATTAATAAATAATGAATTGATATCTAAGGAAGATAATTTTGTAAAGTGTTCAACAAATTTTTATTGTAATTGAATCAATTTAGGTTAATTGTATAAGGACCGAAATAGAACTCATATTGGCTCCAATATTGAGTAATTCCTTAGTTTGTAGATCAATATTAATCCATAGTCAACACACAATCAATTTTAATCTCTAAAAGGCGTTACGGCAAGTTACTTGTTACCTTTATCCAACACTCACAAGAGACTTACATTCTCAATAAAATGTTATGATAAATATTCTCAAAATCATACGGAAAAATACTAAATAAATTGACAATTGTTCTTCTTCCCCACATTGGCATGTCATTCCTCAATGTCACCTTCTACGATACAAATACCATCAGATCCGTCAACAAAAAGATATCTCCAATCAGAACTTTTTTATTTTCTCATAAAATATTCATAATGAGTTGAGCTTATATGCTTTGAGAATCAAGGCAGGATGTGCAAATAAAAAATTCAGAACAAAATAAAAAGAAAATCACGTAAATCATGCAGTCTCATGAACTTGACAACGAAAAAGAGATTTTTTTTTTTTGATTACTTTATGACAGTTGATTATTGACGGCTGTCGATGATATGAATAATAATGGGTGATGTGACAATCAAACGCGGAAATTTATTCTAATGACATGGAGGAGCATGAAATGAGGAAGTAAAGTTGAAAATTATAGAAAGGAAGAATCGATAATGAAAATTTATTATAGTAAATATGAGCAAGTAGACAGGATATAATGTTGAACATCATTAGTAACAATGACAAATTTAAAAAATAATTTTAATGTATGTCAATTGAGCGTGTTGAATTTCCCACATTTTTTCATTCATTCTAAATAATTTATTCCAAGGTATTCGATTACAGTCATCAGTTTTTCCAGGGTGTATAAATGGCATATCTCAATTCACGTGAATTGAAGAAAGAAAAAAAAAATTACATTTCATCATGCAATGTTGATTATCAATGTGAGAAAATTTCTTATACTTATGTGCTTGATATATGCTTATTGTAATTTTTTCTTTTTTTTATTAGAAAGCATGTCTGGAACATGTCACTTTAAAGTGTTGATGCGATAATCAATATAAAAATGTCTGATTCTTTGAGTAAAATATAAGCTGGATTAAGATTTTCTTGATTATAAAATCTACTGCATTGTCATTATTATACAAAATTACCATGAGATTTAATTATTATCAATAAATTTAACTTAGTTACGATTTTCAAGTTTTATAAGATTTTAACGATAACTTTCTTTTCTTTTTATTTATATTTGAACTCTACGAAT